ACCTAAACTTGTAGAAGCATCAAAAATGAAGCAGCAGGCACGTTTCTGCTGCTCTTGCTGCTTTAGGTGTGAACTTGGCATTGGGGGGTTGAATCTTTCATGTGTCATGGTACGCGCCCAGGGGGGTAAGGAGAAGCAGACGATCCTGATTGACTTGTCAGGAACCAATAGTGGACTACGGATCGTCTTTTGTGATTGGTGGGGGTTATTCATTGATTTTTCACTGTAGCAGGAACCATTTATTTTAGTTTCACTTCCAGACCTTCTATTTCACTGCTTGCTAAGCGCCTGTGCGGAGATCTTTAAGCCACATGCTAAAAAATGCGTCAGAAAATATCTACTGCACCTTAAAGTTAATGATCCATCTAGTCCACATAAGCAAAGCGATCAAGCCGCAGAGGTCCATCAGATGGGTGATAAAATTTAATTAAACGGGCAACCAGGGTCTGTAAAACAGGGTTGAAGCTACCTGGATTACGTTCCTTTTTACTTTTCCTTCAAACTCTTAAGACAAAAGTCTTTACTTTCATCTGAAAAGAGGACTTTTGTCTACTAATAAAGGGTTATCTTCTCTTTAGTCCCGGTGTGTCTGGTTCTCCTTTAGATAGAGCCTCTTGATGCTCCAACCACAAACCACTTTATCTCCTTTATTGGAGAACCTCTTCCTTTCAGCTAATTTTCTCTAAATATGTTAGAATTTCTAACATATTTCTTACAGTAGTCTAACATTACCTCACACCTAATTCTGGATCTCTAAGCATAATCAGGTTTAAACTAATAGATAAGTTAGTGATCATGGAGATCCCAGAAATAGGCTGCTCTGCCAAATGGGACACAGTTGTTTTATTATCCCATCTGTTTTTTTGTTTTTGTTAGAGAATCAGCTCAAACAACTTAGGGATGGAATTCAGAAGAGCATCAAGACGTTGCCCAAGCAGAAGTCATACACCTGGAAGTCAGTGAAGGGCTGTGCCGTCTTTGGATCTGACATGCTGTGGTACAGAGGACAGCTGCTGGAGCTGCTGGGAGGACACGTTAAGGTCAGGACTGTTTCAACAGAAGGAGTAGAGCTACTGCTGTTAACCGTTTCTTGCAGATTCAATAGGCAGTGATTGAAAAAAAGGAAACAAAAAATGAACAAAATATTAGAGATGTTTCTAAGATGCTAACAAGTATTGGAAAATCCATCTCTATTCAATGAAAATCGGCACAGGAATGTCCCAAACACAACTATGGGCGTTCAAGTTGGATGTAGAGCAACACAAGCTAGTTTCTGTAAAGCTAAACATTATAAATGTGCACAAAACTGTGTGAATATTCTGCTAATTTCAAAAATTTATCAGTTGCTCAATTGTGCTATGTGCATTAAAGGTGTAGTGGAGGATTTTTGCGAATTTTTGAAAGACCCATAATGATGTTTGTGTGAACAGGTCCAGTATGTCGACTCCGGTGCTGTGGAGAACATCCCAGTGGTGCATGTGTATCCCATGCTGCTGTGTGTGGAGGTTCCTCAGCTCTGTGTGCCCTGTCAGCTCCTGGGCACCAATCCTGTGAGATATTCCTTTGTGCGTTTGTTTCAACTTCATTTATTTACCTGATTTAAATCTCAATTTTTTTTATTTTTTTGTTTGTTTCATGAACTGTTAGGTTGGTGGTAAATGGCACCACGATGGAGTAGCCTTGATGAAGGAGGTGTTGCTAAACCGCACTGTGGACCTGCAAGTTGTGGTAAAATACAAATGGGAATAAAACTGGAAAATTCATCAAAAGGCGATGAATGCATTATTTTAAATGCAAACAACTGCTTCCATATTTGATTCCATATTTGCCGATACTCACATTTATGTAGCCACAGATGCTTAATCTCACAAAGATGTAGTGATGAAATAAGCCACTGTTGAGGATTAGGAAGATTTGGATTGATTG